CCCCCCCCCCCCCCCCTTCCCAAGTCTAACAACCAAGGGATGCAATACATGAGGGCACCCGTCCGCCTCCCTATCGATTTTCATGATCAATGGTCTCACAACTACGGCAAGCAAAACATGAGTACACCCCCCCCCTCTATTTCGTTCGAAACAACAACAACGCCGTTGCCCGCTCTCCGTCTTCGTCGAAGGTGGTTGAAGTCCCGGGCTGGTGGTGGCCAGGCCCCAGCCGCTCCCGCGAAGGGCGTCAAGTTGTTCCATGCCGTGGGAGGGGGCGGGGGGGGCAAGGGCAACAGCAGCAGCGGTAGCGGTAGCGCGGGTGCTGCTGACGGCAACGGGGCTGCGGTGGTGTGGCCGCTGCGGCTGCTGGCGCTGAGGGGGAAGGGCGCGGAGGCGACGCAGCGGGTGCAGTCCTCCCTCCGACACGACATCGAGTGAGATGTCGTAGCTATGGTACAGCGGACTTTTTGGGGGGTGGTTTTGGTGGTTGGTGAAACGTCGTTTGTTGGGGTGGTGCTTGGTTGATATTGCTGGTGCTCCCGTGTTATTTTGGTATTCCCTCGTTCTACACCTACTGTTGTTTCTTGTTGTTGTCGTTGCCGTGGATGGTCTTTGCCGGTGTCGGTGCTTCGTGTTCTGCTTTTTGCTGCTCTTGTGTTGTGCGATAGTGTTTGGCTGCTGCTCAATGAATTTTTTTCTTCGGTGCTCACGTCCCCGCGAGCAATCCAAACCCAACCGGGGCGATGAGGCGGTTTGCCAAAAGCCAGCGACACCAAGTACGATGACTGCTGTATGTATCGCGTCACACCCATGGCATCGTGTTTGAGTAGGACGATGCCTAGCCTCTCTTCAGTAGATATTATTTGATACTATATAACCCTGCACCACCACCACGACAGACAGTTCTTTGGGTGCGGCAGCTTCGTCAGAGGCCAAAAGAGAAAGATGGTTGCCAATCAAGACCTTGTATCATCATTGTCGAGTGACAGACACGAGCCATGAAGCAATGCGTGCCTCGCGCGTCATGTCCATCATATACCTATGTCATCATCCACCCGGAACCCCCCCCCCCCCCCCGGCAGGCCCCGTAAATCAGTTACTCTGCCAAGCACCCCCAAAAACCAACGACACTGTGCCTATTACGCCACAGCCCACGGCATCCTGCTGTCGCGAGCATGGCGCTGCCGAACCTCTGGAGAACAACATCCCACACCATCCGGAGAATCACATTCGACACGATCACCAGCCAACGCCAAGAACATTTTCATGTCGCAGGGTTTCCTCCGTGGAGTCAAAGGAGGCCACAGACGACCAGGGCGATGGTGACACTTCAGGAGTGCGGGTGCTGCTGACCTCCCCCGACGCCGCCGAGACCAAGGACCGCGAGGTGTGGGTCACTCCCGAGGAGGTGCTGGCGATGCTGCTGGCCGGCGTTAAGGTGAGAGGGGCAGGGGGCTGTTGTGGCACCGGCAATATGTACCTGCTGCGTGGCTTGGAAGTGAATGCCGTGGGCATCATGTTTACGAAAGAAACGTCTTCTTGAGATCGCGGCGATGGGGTGATACTTGATGTGTTTTTGTGAAGCGTGCGAAAAGCGAAGACGATAACTGCAGTGGCACACGGAGCCCCGGGGGGGGGTGCTGGAAGTTGCTCGCTTCTTGCCCGCGGTCGATGTGAGAGAGGAAGTATCGAAACCTGTACACACTCCCAACACTTGGCACTTGGCAGCGGTGTATATATAGCCGATTCGTGATGGGACGGTTTCGGCGACTCACTGGCTGCTGTATCAACCCGGAGGTCGGACAAACAACCACATCATCATCATCATCATCATCATCATCATCATCATCAACAATAACAAGAACTACTACTACCACTTCTACCTCAATATCATCATCATCATAGGTACATCATCAACATCATCATCAACAACTACTATTACCACTTCTGCCTCATCAACAATGTCATGATGATCATCATCGTCACCCCAAGTACCACCGCCACCTCCACCAGACCGCCACAGCGACACCACAACTCGACCACATGGTCATCATCAACAACACCAACAACAACAGCCTTCATGAGCGATCGTGCTACACCGTCGTCCGACGAAAGCCACAACAACAACAACCGCCGATGATGATGCCATGCCTCTCTTTCACCCCATTCCCAGGCGAAGGCCGAAGAAGCCCACGGCGTGATGATCAAGACCTGCAACCTCAGCGCACCCGGCTGCCTCGGCGACCTCCACCGCGTCGCTCTTCAGCGGTCGGTGTTCCTGGCGGGCATGGTGCCCGGCCGCTTCGTCGGATCCCCCCTCGCCGCCGCCGTGGGGTATCTCTGGGGAAGGTGGGAGAGAGACAGACCGAGAGAGAGAGACAGTCAGACAGAGACAGAGACAGAGACAGAGACAGAGAGAGAGAGAGAGGCGCCGATAAACGGTGGCCCTGTTTGAAGATGATGGTTTTGATTATGTCGTCGTTGTGTCTGCAGCGGTCGAGGCACGTGTCGAGTCTCGTTTGGTCCCGGCTGATTCTGTTGGGAACTATGTATGTGTGTCGATACGTTTGTTTTGCTGTCTTGGTTTGTGCTGCTGTTGTCTTGGGTGTGGGTGTTTTGGGATTTTTTAACGTCATTTTCGGGTGTGTTTTTGTTTCGGACGGGGCATCCTCCTTGCATGCTTCGCCCTCCCCGCAATCCTCATCTCTCTCATCTCTCCTTTTCTCGAGGAAGATACACTCGTCTCGCACTGCTGTTACTGGCGCAAAAGGTGAAACAGGAGGCGTTCGCACTACCGGTCTTACCGCTCTGCGATATATTTCTAGCCGAGCACCGTCGCGCGAAGTCACGACTGCGCACCTACTGTACGCATACGTCACCGCCGCGGCCGCTTAATTCTCGCGTGACTGCTGTTTTGTTTGCCTTTTTTTCTGCATGGGTTGGGGGGGGGGGGGACGCAGATCGAACCCCGAGCTGAAGGGCCCCGACGACCTCATCCTGGCCGTGGGCATGGGCGCGAGCTTCCTGGACGTTTCGTTGATAGCCCCCACCCGAGAGGCATCGCCTCCTTCTGCCGATTCGGCGGACACCGCCGTTGGCGGCGGCGCAGGCGGTTCGGGCGGCAAGAAGAAGAAAGGCAAGGGAGGCGGCAGCAAGGGGAAGGCCGGCCAAGGTGTGTGACTTTGGGGGGGTTGGTTTGTTGCTAGAGTACGGTGGCAGAGACTGGAGAGCAAGATGAGGTCTCCGCGCTCCACTCATGTGATTGATGTTTTTTTTTTGTTGTCGGGATGATTCGGGATGGGGTTGGCGGTAGGGTTGGCGGGGCTGCATGTTAGCGGTGACGTCCACGATGTGGGGTATAGCACGAGAGGGCCACTGCTTTTGCTGTAACGTGTTAAATGAGGGCCGCGATCTTGGTTGCTCGTTTTATTTGTGCGGCAGTCTTTGCGGTGGTTTGCTACGTGCTGCGGCATGCTACCGTAGCTATCGCCGCATACATACCGAGAGAGAAGCATCTATCTCGACGAGGCACCCATGTTTTCTCGCTCCTCTCGCCTTCTTGGCGGAGAGAAAACGAACCTCACGAAACACGTGTGTGTTCCATCTGTGCATGCGTGCGGGGTTTCGTGTCGCATGGCATCGCGTCGTTAGCAGCGGAGGCGCAAGGGATGGAGTACCGCGTGCGGGCCTCGGCAGGCGACTCGGCCTGCGGGGGGCTTGACATGGACTACCTCGTGGCCCGCGCATTGCTGGTGGGTCCACCACCTCGGGGGGGGGGGGGGGGAGGGGGGGGTACCCAAGTTTTGCATGCCCTTGCAGGAAGAGGGTTTTGGCGTGGAGCACGCGGCGGGGCATATCTGTTATTGTGCGGCGGTGTTGCTTGTTGCTCGTGGTATGCAGCTGCTGTGGTAAGAGACTCGAGCCGTCCAAACCCGCACCGTGGCCTTCCTCCGAATAGGAAACCTTGCACGTGATCTTTACAAACAGCCGGACCGCGGTACAGAGTAGGAGAGACTTGAGTCGACAAAACCCCGTCAACCATGACCCTTTCCCCCCTGTAAAAAACCTTGGCTCTTGTGATCCGCAACGAAAAGGCGGCCGTAGAGGACTCTAGCGGACCGGAGGTGGCTTCGGACCGCGCCCTGTGGCGCAACCTGCTGGACTCGGCGAAGCTGCTGAGGGAGCGACTGTCGGCGGACCCCAAGTCCTCGGTTTCGCTGAAGCCCGGCTGCTGCGACGCGGACCCTGCCTTCAAGCACTCGCTCGAGGTGACGCTTTTGATTCACTCGCGCGCCCGGCTCGAGAATATGTATGTGTAGGTGGGGCTACAGTAGAGGCTTGAAAGATTTTTTGGCGATCGTCAGCAGCAGCAGAAGCAGCTGAAGGGGGCTGCCCCGCAGTCGGTCTAAACGGAATTTCGATAGTTGTCTCTCGATTAGGGTATTCGCTCCCTTCTACGCATTATCTGTCTGTCGTTCTATCTTTGATAGTATATGTGTGGGTGCCCCTCTCCCTCTCCCACTATTTACCTCCCTGTCGAGTCTCATGACAAGACGAACGAGGTACCATGGTGATGGTGTGCACCCGAGCACCTGCCCCCCCCCCCCCTCAACCCCCCTCCCCCCGTATCCCAAAACCCACCTCCTCTTTTTACCCTCCGTGCCTAG